CATCAGAGAATGGCAAGACTGTGATGGGGAAAGGAAGAACCAGCCATGTTATAAAATGGACAGGACCCCAGGAAAATGTAACTCACATGGTCACATGGAGAACTGCGTTGCATTGAAGTCATTTAATAGGCTATAGTAGAGTTGACAGAATCAAAGTGAAGCTTTTTTGCACCAATGTAGTCCTTTGCAGAGAAGAGCAGCCCATGCCACATCTATGTAAATGTACTCTGATGCCCCTCAACATATACCATGGAAGACCTGATGCTAGCTGCTAAATGTTCTTAATGTTACCTGTTCTTCTGAGATCAACTCAGAAGAAAGGAATGGTTCCAATAATTGCACCATAGTATGAAAATTTTTAAGATAATTTTATCCAATATTATCTGATATATTTATCATACTATGGTGCAACTACTGGAGCCATTCCTTTCTTCTGAGTTAATCTCTACCCATTTCTAACTGCATTTTTTTCTTCAGATTACACATTTTGTGCCCAGCTGTTGGGAAAAAATTAAACTTAAATAGCTGGGGGGGGAAACAAAGCACACAATATTCTTGGAAGGAAGGAAGAAAGGAACTCAAGCCCTCGGGATAGGGCTGGCTAATGTGATGATCATCAGATGGGGGAGGGGTCATAGAGATAAGAATAGGTTGTTCAGTTGATAATTAAAATCAGAAAGCTAAAAGGAAGGATGGAAAAGAACAACCTGACCCTGCAGTGATAGAGAACCTATAAAACCATGGCGTACAGGGCTGGACTCCTAGCAGGGTCACCCAAGGCGGAATGGCCATAATTTGAGACACCAGACTAAGATGCATCCACCCTCTTCAAGGCAGCTAAGGGCAGCAGTGGTAGCTGAAGGTGACACTGGTAGAGGAGGCAATGGCACTGATGCTCAAGCTAACTTTGGCTAGTACTGCACAAAAGACAGCAATGGTAAACCCCTGCTGAACATTCCTTACCATGAAAACCCTATGATGAGACAGTTTAAAATGAAAAAAGAGATAGTGCTGGAAGATGAGACTCCCAGGTTGGAAAACACTCAATCATCTACTGGGGAAGAGGAAGGGAAAAGTATGAATAGCTCTGTTGCTAATAACGTAACTAGATTAAAGCAGAAAGGACAGCTAATGCCTGACGTGCGCAGAGCTGAAAGGAAAGTCCAGTGTTGCACAACAAATACAATTGGAACATGGAATGTGAGAAGTATGCATCAAGGTAAACTGGGAACTGTAAAGCAAGACATGGAATATATAAACATTGCAATGTTTAGTGTCAGTGAATGAAAATGGACAGTATTTTCAGTCGGACAACTGCATAATGTTCTATGCTGGAAATCACAAATCCAGAAGAAATGTAGTGGCTCTAATATTGAGACAAGATGTGGCACATGCAGTTAGGGGCTATAAAGCAAAGTCATACCAAATAATATCAATTGGACTTCATGGAAATTATATCATTCAAGTCAATGCTCCAACTACTAATGCCGGAGATGAAATTGAAAGCTTTTATGCAAGACTTATAATCATAGGCGACTGGAATGCAAAGGTAGGGAACAAAGTAGAACCAAATATATTTGGAAAATTTGGTCTAAGGGTCAGAAACAAAGTAGGAGAGTGATTTGTTCTGCAAAGCCAACAATTTGTTTATCTCAGATACATGCTTCTAATGCTCCAACTACTAATGCCGGAGATGAAATTGAAAGCTTTTATGCAAGACTTATAATCATAGGCGACTGGAATGCAAAGGTAGGGAACAAAGTAGAACCAAATATATTTGGAAAATTTGGTCTAAGGGTCAGAAACAAAGTAGGAGAGTGATTTGTTCTGCAAAGCCAACAATTTGTTTATCTCAGATACATGCTTCTAGCAACCAAACAGAAGACTGTATATATGGACATTACCAGACAGATAATATTGATTATGTATGTTCTGCAAAGCCAACAATTTGTTTATCTGATACATGCTTCAAGCAACCAAACAGAAGACTGTATATATGGACATTACCAGACAGATAATATTGATTATGTAATTGGAAGCAAGGTTTGGAGCTGTATTCTCTCTGCCAAAGGAAGACCAGGAGCCAACAGTGGTACTGATCATGAACCGCTAATGTCCAACATTAGAATACAGCTGAAAAAGAATACTAAAAGAATCCTAGTGCCAAAATATTATTTAAACAACATAACTATTGAATTTAAAGTCTACATTTTGAACATATTTGCTTTACTGACCATGAATCTGAAGAACTGTGCACTGAAACCAGAAATATTATTAGGGAATAATACAAAAATACAGTTCCAGTGGTAAAAAATAAAATAAAAACCTAGATGAATGATGGAATGTTTTACAAATAAAAACCTAGATGAATGATGGAAGAATTGTTTTACATTGTAAAGGACAGATGAGAAGCAAAAGTAAAAGGTGACAGAAACAGGATCAGAGTTCTAAATGCAGTTTTTAAGTGACTGTCACATAGAGACAGAGAAAACTATTACAATAACCAGTGCTAAGAAACTGAGAAGAACAAGAAAAGGGGGGGGAGAAGAATCTCCTCCAGAAGATCCAAGAAATCAAAGGGAAATTCAAGCCTATATTAAGAATGTTGAATGACCAACAGGGAGGCACACAGTCTGACCAGAAGAAAATAGAAAAGATATTACGGAGTATAATGATGAATATAGAAAAAAGGACGGCAGACTAAGTATAATGATGAATATAGAAAAAAGGACGACAGACTATTTGAAGATGAATCTTATGATGAAGAATCTGCAGTTCTAGAAAGTGAAGTGAAAGTTGCTCTGAAAGCATTAGGAAGAAGTAAATCACCAGGGGTAGATGGAATACCAATAGAACTCTTTCCAGCCACAAAGACTGGATCTGTCAAGAATATACAAACAAATATTTTAAAAAATTAAAACAATGGCCCACAGACTGAAAACATGTAATATACATTTGAATCCCCCAAAAAAGGTGTGGCATACAGCTCTGCTCTCACCTGTCCGTCACAGCTGGGCAGGGGAACCTCAGCCAATGAGAGGACGGAGGGTGATGCAGAAGGGGGAGGAGCTGGTTTATATAAGGTGTGTGTGATGTGTGAAAGAGAGAGTTTTGGAGAGTTTGAAAAGATGAGAGAAGTTGATTGAGAGACTGAGATAGATTTGAGAGAGATAGTGAGGGAAAAGTCTGTGTGATCTAGTAATTGAGAAACGTGATTAACAACTTGATTTATTACCTGTGATTCACCCTTTTTTATTTTGTACAAATCAATAAACATTTTATTTGTTTGAAAGAAAAACTTATCCTTTGTGAGTACTAAGGATAGGTTGGTGGCAGCAAGTGAAGAATAGTAGTGAGCACTCTTGGAGGTCTGTATTGGTACAGGCTTGAGAGTGGCCCGCTACAAAAGGAGATGCCAAGGAGTGCAGAAATATAGAACCATTGCTTTAACTTCCCACGCAAACAAATTGATGCTCAAGGTGTTGAGCTCAAGGTGCTCAAGGAAGAGCTATTTGAGATCATATTGGAAATTTCTGCTGGCTACTGAAGTGCACCAAAATTTTTCAGAAGATTAATCTATGCTTTATAGACAACAGAAGAACCTTTGACTGTGTAGGTCATGAGAATCTGTGGGTTGTCCTGAAAGAAACAGGTGTGCCTCAATGGGTGTGATTATCCTGATACGTAACCTGTACTGTGGACAGGAAGTTATCATTACAACTGAATATGGAGAGAGAGAAATGTTTCCCAAAGGCAAAGGGGTCAGACAAGGGTGCCCTTTATTCCCCTATCTGTTCAATATGCAGAACATTTCATACAGAAAGCCAGACTAGATTCAGAAAAAGGAGGACTGAAAGTTGGTGGAAGAAAGACTAATAATTTAAGATATTCAGATAATACCATCCTAATGGCAGAAAGAAACAATGACTTGGATCATTTTAGTGAAAGTGTGAAACGAAAGCCAAAGCAGGACTGCAGTTGGAAGTAGACAAAAATTGTGACTACAGAGGAAATACAAAATTCTATGCTTGACAAGGAAGAAATTGAAGTGGTTAGAGATGCATACATCTTGGTTCAACTATTAATCCAAAATGAGATAGCAGACAAGAAATCTGAAGAAGCCTGAGGCTCAGAAGGGCAACAATGAAGGAATCAGAAAAGATAATGAAGTTTCAGGATATGTCACTGGAGACCAAGACCAACAGCATCCACACTATCCTATTCCAGATCACTGTATGTGGGTGTGGAAGCTGGAAAGTAGAGAAATTTGTGAGGAAAATATTGATTGGTTTGAAATATGGAGATGAAGGATTGGTTTGTAGCTATCCTGGAGTCTGGACTGCCAAAATGAGAAGCAAGTGGAATTCATATCAAATAATGTCTAAACTATCTCTGGAGGCAAAAATGAAACTGAGGTTGTTCTATTGTGGGGTCATCACGAGAAGGCAGGATCTCTGTAAAAGACAACAATGCTGGGAAAGGTCGAAGGCAGCAGGACAAATATGAGCCTTGAGTTTAGAAATGCTGAGCGGAAGAAGGCAGCAGGAAAAGATCAAATATGAGCCTTGAATTTAGAAATGCTGAGCGGAGAGGCTGAAGACACAACATTTTGGAGATCGCTCATTCACAGGACCGCCATAAATCAGAGGCGACTTTGACAGCAAGTAACAACACCAACAAACGTGGAACTCGACAGAAATAACGGTTTTCGGAAGGCATTCAAGATAGGTACACACATTCGTGTGTTTCAAGCACCACCACCTCCAGGCAGAGGGAAAAGAACCAGGACGGCCAGAGTTCCTCTCCGGGCAGGCTGAGTAAGGCTGGGAGGAGTAGCCTAGGGAGGCTCGAAGGGTGCCACGAGCACCATCAAACGGGGAGGGGGGGCGTTCCGATTCAAGCGGGCGGGACTCGTCCCGCTCCTCCCTGCCTGAGAGCCCAAAGCGGCCCCGGTGGCCACNCTTTTCTTTTTCTCGTCCGCCCGCGGCGGCTCCTTCCAGCTCACCATCCTGCACACCAACGACGTGCACGCCCGCGTGGAGGAGACCAGCCGCGACTCCGGCAAGTGCGCTGGCCAGGACTGCTACGGCGGCGTGGCGCGCAGGGCCACCAAGATCCGGGAGATCCGCGCCACGCACGACAACGTGCTGCTCCTCGACGCCGGCGCTTTTTCTCGTCCGCCCGCGGCGGCTCCTTCCAGCTCACCATCCTGCACACCAACGACGTGCACGCCCGCGTGGAGGAGACCAGCCGCGACTCCGGCAAGTGCGCTGGCCAGGACTGCTACGGCGGCGTGGCGCGCAGGGCCACCAAGATCCGGGAGATCCGCGCCACGCACGACAACGTGCTGCTCCTCGACGCCGGCGACCAGTACCAGGGCACCGTCTGGTTCAGCTACTTCAAAGGGCGCGAGGTGGTGCGCTTCATGAACCTCCTGGGCTACGACGCCATGGTGAGCGGGGAGGGGGGACGGGCGGTGCGGGGAGGGGGGAAGCTCACGCGTGCCCTAAAGGAGAGAGGAACGAGAGCAGCTGCTGTGGCCCGCGGCGAAGCGTGAGGGCTTTCCCTCCACCCGGTGAGAAACCTCGTTCCGGGACCAGCTGCCCCTGGCGCCCTCATGCCCCAGCCATGCCCGCGCTGCTTCCCATTCTTGTGAGAAGCTGCACCTGAGGAGTCCGCGCTTCAGGGCGCACGGCCGCCGAGGCGCGCTTTCCTCCTCATAGACGTGCCTGGCCTGGGTTGGGGCTACAGGGGACACCACGGGCGCTTAGCCCTCCTGTTCATTCTCGGGCTACTGATCCGGAGCAGTTTGCACTCTGTTCATCCCAACCCGTTGTTGTTGATTTTTAAAAGACCACTTGCTGATTCCAAATGAGTGTCCTCTCTGGTTTGGATCTGGCCCTGAGAAAGGATTCGAGCACGTCCTGGGAATGTGCAGCCCTCCAGATGTTGCTGGAGTGCAACACCCCTCCGCCCTGGCCAACATCGTCCTTAGTGAGAGATGGCCAAAGGGACAGGAGAAACAGCACGTGATAATGAGTTAAGAATAACTGAATTTACCTTTGAACGTTGTTTTGTAAAGAGGGCTGTGGTTAGTTGGGAAGGAAAATGACAGTAGTTAACAGCCTATTTAGTAGTCGTACAGTATTTCACATTTGGCAGTGGCTTAAGAACCCTTGACTAATGTTTAACTCGTTGAGATTCAGTTCAGCAGCAGGTATGATTACACACAAGGGAAATACATTTTTATCCACTGTGTGTTCACCGTTCATCAAATCAGCTTTCTCTGAGTGAATCTGCTGGAGTCTGCCCTCTCATTATCAGCTCAGCAGGCCCTAAAAGTAATATCTTTGTTTAGTCACCAGCTTGTATTTGTATCTACCAAGTTTTAAAATTGATTTTACACAATCCCTAGATGCCTTTGAAAACAAATGTGCTGTTTCAGTTGTTAATTTAGGAATGGTAGGATTTTACTGAGATGACAGGATACAAATGCTTAATTGAAAATGTTTAAACATGTGGCATTAAAAGGCTGGTGCAATTAGGAGAGTGTTTGGTAGGGTGCTGAAGAGCGTGTTTGGAACTCCTGGGCTGCTTCAAACATTTTCCATTGGCAAATGCATGTTTTCCATTGTGTGTGTTTTCCTTGCTATGCTTACATGCAAGGGTCATTCTGATGTACATGCATTAGACTTCATGATGTATATACACAATGTGTACACATGCAGAGTTGTGCTTTGTTGTCATGTGCAAAGATACTTTTTACACGTGCTTTACATACTGTGAAGCACCTTATGGCTGACTGGTTTGCATTCACAGTCAAACTGAATTCACATCATATTTGGAATGAACTTGTTGAAGGTTTCTTCTGAGATCCTCTGTGGAATCTCTGATGCAGTGTACCTATAAAAATTATTAAAAACTCTTTATTATTAAAGAGACCGGAAAAACCCACAACAACCATTAGAAACCTGGTAATTCAGACAGGCTTTCTCAATTCTAAAAACACTATGATGCAACAGTGCCTCCAATAACTTAACATCTAACCTATCACCATGTTTTTCACTTTACAGTATTTTCTTTGTTATGTTCTACTGTGTATTTTTATTGCAATTTGTTTTGTACCTTTTAAAATTTAATGGGTGTTGTCAAGCTCCCTGTTATTATGTTATTGTTGTCGTTGTAAACTGTCCAGAGTGGACTTGGCTGCCAGATGGGTGGTATAAAAATCAAATCAATCAATCAATCAATCAATCCAACAGCTCCCAGTGGCTCTCACTACAGGTGTTGGATATGACATGTAAGGTTTACAGGTACTTGCAACATCCTGTATGCATACAAATGCAAGAGTAGGCAGTACATTTATAGACTGCTTAAAAATATTTGTCAATCTGCAAACTTTGAACATGCATGTTAGGAACACTCACTTCATCGAGTGTGTAGCACGGTGAAGAATTTAAAGTCCAGAAGTTCAAGGCAAGATGGATTTTGCCAGGAAAGTTACTCTTATATGTGAAGTCCAAATGTTCTTGGGAAGATAGATTTCTCCAGGCACATCTTTTTAAGATGTAAATCAGGAAAAAGGCAGGTTGCATTAGAGCTGTTGTTTTAAAGTTATAGCAGAGGCAGCTGTAGGTTGAATGTCACACCCCAGTTCTTCAAACAAAAAGGCACACCCCTTCCACTTTGACATTTCTTTGAAACATACATGTTTCTGCTTAGGCAAGGAGGGAGGTTGACACAGAAAGCCTGAGTCCTCCCATCTGAGAACTGAGGTGGTAATTTAGTAAACCCACTAGGTCTAGCCAATTGGGGTCAGATTGAAGTCAAAATATTATCATCTAATAGTTGTAGTCCTGCTCTGCTGATGCTGAGAATCCATGTGTCTTCTTGTTGATATGGGTGGTGGCGGCTGGTATCTTTGTAATACCATTGAAATAAAAGGGAGCCATGTAGTCAATACAAAGTATAAATATAAGAGTAGGCGATAACTTTATAGACGACTGAAAAAGCATCATACAATCTTCAAGTTTTCATGAATCAGGATCATCAGGTGTATAGCTGTGTGAAGAATTTAAAGTCCAAAAGTTAATGACAGGATAGAATTTATCTGGAAAGTTGCTGTTAGGTATAAAGTCCAGACGTTCTTTGCAAGAGGGATTTTGCCAGGCATGTCAGCATACATGTCACTGCATCTCCTTGCCATGGGATAATATATTACAGCCAGTTTGGTTGTCCTTGGGTAACAGGAATTTCAGAACCCATGGATTTAATCCTTTAACCCCCAAATTATTGATTTATATATTTATTACGGAGGTGTCAAATGCAATTTCATCTTGGGCCGCATCGGTATTCTGGTTGCCCTCAAAGGGCCGGTTGCATCTATAAGACTATATAAAGGTATCTAGTCTTTATATCTGTACTACAAAGAGTAGTGCCAGTCTAGCAGTTCGAAAGTGCGTAAATGTGAGTAGATAAACAGGTACCACCACGGTGGGAAGGTAACAGTGTTCTCTGTCTAGTCACGCTGGTCACATGTCCATGGAAACTGTCCACGGACAAACGCTGGCTGTACGGCTTGGAAACGGGGATAAGCCCCCTAGAGTCAGACACAACAACTAAATGTCAAGGGGAACCTTTACCTTTACTTTTTACAAAGAGCTCAGTGGTATATTCTTAAGATACACTTGTTTTAAAATGGCATGGGCAATCCTTTCAAGAATCACAGTCCTCACAGAAATAAAGCAGCAAATGCATTGGTTTTCTTATAGCCCAAATGGTTACAAAACTGTTCTCAGAACAGAGCAGCAGAAACAGACAGATCTTGAAAAACCAGAATGTTTTTTTGAACATTTCTACCAGGAGGAAGTAGTAAATGAAAAATCCAGAATCCACTTAGAATCCAGAGAGTGACATATCTACCCCGCTACTATTCAGCGTCTGCAGAAAATGGGAAAGCAAAGTGATCTAGTAGACAAAAAAAACTGGAAGTGAAAGATATAAATTCAAGGCCCACATTTCCCAATTCCTCTTCATGTCACCTTGGCTAAATTACTCCTTTCCAATGATTTCCCATTTGCAACTGGTATACTAAGAGATGACCATGTGGGCCTGAAGTATTTGTTCCTCACTGTAATCTCCACCATGCTATTACTGTCACTTTGGAGCCTTCTGGCCAGAATTTGTATGATCTTGCCATCCTTCAAGACGCCGGCTGTTATTTGATTCATGATCAGAAATACCACCTTTGCGGACAGCTGCTAGAATTCCCTAGCCTATGTGGCTCAGAAATTCTAAGTGCTGGTGGTTTAAAAAAAAGCTTTCAAAGTGCTGTGATTGGACAATTAACATTACCTTTCTCACTTTTCCCATTAAACTAGAGAAGCTCCTATTTATTTCACATTTTAAAAATAATGTTTCAAAATCAATGTAAATTAATTTTCTATCTGATGAAATACAGATTTATCACTACATCTGTGTGTCCACGGCTTGTTTTAAGGGTCTGAAATAAGATCCAATTCATTACTCAATATTTGCCAATATATAATCCCAAATTACCAGGACATAAACATGCAGATATATCTCAGGCACAGTTCTTTTGCTGATGACTTTTCACAGAAGTCCTTTTTTCCCTTGTTATGCTTCTAAGTACTGTAGTCTTGTCGTTTTTTTAAAAAGCAATCCAATGCTTTGCTTTGTTATAACGTGGCAATTTCTCTTTTTTTAACCTTAGATATTAGGGTGGGGAAGTTGTGATCACACCAGTGCTGAACATCAGATTAATTGATTCTGATGTTGCCTGGGCCTCGGGATCATGGCCCGCGGAGGGCATGGGGAGGTGAGCCACACCTGTGCCAAGGCACGCAGTGGCAGCATTTCCTTCTTTTCCTCCGTCCTTAGAGGGTGGGTGGATCAGGGCTCTGACGGCAATGAACGCGAGGCACTCGGCAGCCAGGTAGTCCAGGCTGTACATCGAGGGTGGCCGAGACCCATGCTTCTCCATGCGACTGTGTACCCCCAAGGGCACACCTGTCCTCAATGGATGGATGGAGAAGCCATGGACCGGGGTTGGGGTCCCCTGGTATACTGCGCAGTAGCAGGGGGCCTGGACCCTACGACACTGTGAGGGCCACATGAAACAGCCCAGTGGGCCAGATTTGGCCCGCGGGCCTTGAGTTTGACACATGTGATTTAGTATGTTTTATACCACTTTCTTGTAATCTAATTCATGAAGTATTTATTGTGTCAAGGAGTTCAAAACTGTTGCCTGTGAAAGCATAAAGGCAAACATTTGGCAGTACACGCTCAAATCCTATTCAGGAAGAAGACATTCTTCAGATGCAGTCTGTTTGTTCTTGAGCCACTGGAGGGGTTTTGGCTGTACTGTTCTGCTGGCACAGTGCAGTTCCCCTCCAACTTTAGCTAGTCTCCAGCTCCTCACCAAGGCATGTT